TGACCATGACCATGACCTTGAAGGTCACCCTTCGCATCCGCGGTGCAGACAGGCCGGTCGTAAGTAAAACACCAGACGTGTCTCCGTCAAACTTTTTCCGTACCACAGTAATCCAGCTACGACGACAGTAGTCTCAACGGTAATTTGCAACAAGGTTAATCATCGCGCGCAACACTTCCTGCGGTTTTTACCTTCAATCTTCATGCCGACTTTGAGGCATTTCTGGAAACGACACTGTGGACATCGCTTTCGGCAAGTTTTGTCCACCGGACAATTTTGGTCGGCGGAGCACTGGTACACCTAGAAGCAAAGACGCCACAAAGGTCGTTTCATTGCGCGTGCACAAAAAGTCAATACCTTCTTGTTCTGCACCGTCCTTTTGAAAAATCCCTTGCACGACTCGCAAGTCAAAAGTCCGTAGTGGTAGCCAGAAACTTTGTCCCCGCACACAGGACACGTGTCCTCCAGGTACGTTTTTTGGCCAACCGTCGTCGTCGTGCTTTCCATGTATTTGTCTTCGACAGTAATCATGGCAGTCTTTTCCTCTGGTTCTCTAGTGAGAAAGGACGTCAGAATAGTCATATGTACAGCCTAAGCAGTAATCATGTATGATCAGGCAGCCTACTATAGAATCGCAGCTAAAGGAGACGGTTTCACATTGAATGCAATTGTATATGGAATATAAGCCATCTAGAAAGTGAAACATGGCAAAAAATGTCCTTGAGGATGAAGACAAATTGGTACAGCGCAAAGCACAAAAACATGAAGTGATACTCAGAATTTTGTGTAAGCCGTGTCCGTCTATAACCAAATATATACTTTTTGTGACAGCTATAGTTTCAACGTAGGTCGAACTAGGTGAATTAAAGCATCATTAATTGACAATGTTTTGAGGAGGAACCCCTTTACTGTAGCAAAACTTTCCGTCGAAATACGTCGTTGATCAGGCGTTCTCAAAAACATTTTGCCATTTTGTCGCTGAGGTCTAATCACAAATCACCTCGAAACACGTAGCAGTCGGTCAGTTATTGCTCAATCAATAACCATGTAATGGTTCGCTGCAGTGAGGTTCTCCAACACCAGGGTTTAGAAAATACACGGCACGTCAATGAACGTAAAAGATCTGACTTACGATTTACACTATCATGCGGCAGCTGGTTCCGTGAAAAAAACACTCCTCTATGAGGACGTAACAAATAAACGTTCAGACTTACCACTTCCTTTTACCCGGGCTGTCAGCAGTTAGCATGAGCGTTGCAACCTACGTGAAACTTTGCGAAGTCTGACCCGTGTCGACGAATGGAATCATAGAATCTGCTGCTGCGCAACCACCACCACCACCGCTGCTACCAATGCGCTGTTAACTCTGACCACTTTACTGCGCTGACCAATAAGTATTCCATCGCTAAAGGCCGCAAATGATCGAAGGGCCGAGATGCCGACTTTCGTGAATGTTTAGGTCTCACCACAAAGCTGATCAATGTGGCAACTATGATGAACACTGTCGTCAGGGTTCTAGTTTTTGTGACACACTTACCCCGTTCGGGCAGACAAGGGCGGTTTTAAAAACGATAGCCAAATCCCCATTACTCAAACTTGTTGCTGTCAAAGAAAAAATCGGTCAAGTCGGGTCTTCCATATGAGTGAGTGGCAGCGAACGTTATATGGAATTGTTACCGCTCGATGCGCGGTAACAAGTAGCCACGGTAGAGTGCGTGCATTAGGTGCAGACCTGCGCAGTAAGCCGCGACTGGCCTCGCGTCTCGACTCGTTTCCGTGCTGGAAACCCGGTGAAAGCCACACGCCACACGGGTATTCTGTGGCAATGGCACCTGAACTACTTTCCCCAGTCACAGCGTCAGATGTTTCGGACGAATGCTGCGCTCTCGATCTACAGTGGTACTGTATTCTCGAGTTTCTACCGTACCTTAAATGATAGTATTCGTATCGGATAGCTGTACAATAAAATGCTCCCACTTAGGCAAGATCGTTACCGTCTCCAACGTAAGCAGGAAGACACAGGTTGACCAGGTGCGCAGCATGCTTGGGTTCGCCGCATCATTAATTTCTAACTGTTGCAAAACAGTGTTCCGCGGTACAGAAAAGTTTAGAAATGAAAACAAACCGGTCGTAGAAAGGAAAAAGCTAGCTGGTATTTCGAAAGAAATTTCCAGTTTCTTTAAAACCCACTCCTCTGCCATACAACCCTGTGTTGTCGGCAACTTCTGGGCCAATCATGTTCAATAATGCTTCTAAATTGAAACCAAAGCTGATATGTGCACCTCTACCCATATCTCTTACCGACTGTCCGATTACAAATGGATACTTCTATGAAGAAGGACTTCAAGACGACAGTATGGCAGTATTGCTTCAACCAACAAGTTCGTGATACGAAGCATTTTAAATATGATCAACTTCCTTATAGCAAATCGAGTAACGTCGAGTTTCAAGTCACAGTCATGTGTCAAGATGCGCATGTGCCAGACAACAATGAAAGGTCGGTTCCGCTACGAAACCCGCATTAAATTGCAACACCGCTGATGACCCATTTAACGGATCACAGTTGGGCATTCAGACTTTAGTACTTGTGGTTTGGACTCAAGCGACATCCTGCAAACCGAACAAAACCGTCACGTTTCCTTCTGAAGCGGTTTCGCTTGTTGAAGCGCTACGTGATGCATTTCAGACATTGCCCAGACGATCGCAGGAAGCGCTTTCGAAACGAGTGTTTCATTCTGACGCCATATCGACTGCAGCGTTGTGTCAAACGTGACACCACCGTATGTTTTTTCTATATGTGAAAATACCCGCAATGGAAAATTGGCTAACTACTCTAAACCATTGGGTGAGACAACGATGGATTTGTCCAGCGCATCTGTAGCGCTATGAGCAGTCGAAACGTGTGTTCGACTCTGATGGCCGTCTCCCGATTTTTTTGAATTTGTCAAACTAAGAAATACTGCACACACATGGAAAAATCACATATGTTTGGATCGGATTAAAATTAGTCATACAACAGCTACGGAATTTCATGCTCAGATCCGCAATACGAAGATTGATTTCTGACGAGTGTACAGTTAAAAGGTTTTTGATTGTGAACACCAGAAAAGCTACAATGCTTTTTCTTACACAACAAACCGAAAAAATCAAGTTTCTACTCAATGGTCATAGAATTGGAGCAATTCATGAATGAAATTCTATCTGTCTGCTCTGAATGCAGTACCAATGACAATCTATATCACTTTCGAATATCTAGGGTATAAACAAAATAAAAAATTATTGATTATTTATCATTGAGTTACTGACGCTGCATAACCAAAACTCTGTTAACCGTCTAAGAAAACAAATACAAAATCAAAAATTAAATTAACATATGCAGTTATATGATCCGTTTGTCATAGAAACTAGTTTAAGCCTAGTTTAAAGTTTCAAGCTGTGTACAAAAAAGAAAGGGCGTACTATGTACAGATTGATTAAGCCATATCTTATGCAAAAATTGCAGAAACATATTCGCTTTTTCACCTCCCACCTCCTCCCCACCGTTTAAGATAATACTGCGTCCGTGCTCATAATCAGTCAGCCCAGATACGCAGAGCCGTTACAGACTACGAGTCAAGGAGCAACTAGAAAAGATAAAGACGGCTAGCCAACATTGATTTTCTTCCGATCACTCTGCACCCTCGATTTTAAACGCAGATTACAGTAGAAATGACATGCACATGTCTTGCCACATCTTAAACTAAAAAATCTGCACCTAATGAAGCAAAAATGTCCCTAATAAATGTCTAGTGGCCATTCTTTGTTTAAAATTGAACACAAAACATTGATTAGCACATGAAGCCGGATATACAGCA